CCCCCCCCCCCCCCAAAAAAAAAAAAAAAAGAAGAAGAAAAAAGCATTGAGGAAACCTGAGACACGATCATGAGTCGATCTCTAGAGAAACACGTTGAGTTGAGCTCTTAGAGGACAAAACACACCACAAAACAAGTGGCAGTTCCCTTGTGTTTGCATTTCTTACTAGCACTGTGTTTCACGGAACTAGAAATATTTGGATGACAACTGGGACAATCAGGGCAATGGCACTAGTGCAGCAGGGATAAACCGGATAGGGCTTCAAGAGTTGAGCTAGGAGAATGAAGGGGGACCTCTGCAAAATTGAACCTTTTGTGATGGCCTCGTTGGCCAATCTCACTGGAGAGAGAATCAAACATGAAGCTGAAGCTGCAGAAATGCAAGTCAAATGCTAAATTTCAGAGTTCATTTGTGCATATGTGGTCCATATGCAAGACACAGAACGGGAGAGAGTGCAGAATGCAACTCTTACTTGATGGCTAGTTTCCCCTTCAAGATCTGTGCGTCGGAAGACACTGGCACTTGTTCAAATTCATAACTCGGCTAGTCCCTATGGCATTGTGTATTGCCCTGTTGGAAATCATGCATATTGCATAGTATATGCATAGATAGTGACTATAAACAAAGAGAAAAGTTAAAGCCAATGTGCAAATGTAATTTACCATCAATGTTACCTCATTGCAGGACAGAGCATCCGGCTGATGTGAGTATTTCACGAATGGATGTTCAAGTAACATTCTTGCTGTTGGCCTGTCGGCTGGCTTTCTGTGAAAGCAACGATGCAAGAAATCCTTGCCATCAGCTGACAGCATTTCAGGTATAGGTGGAGTGTCTTTAAGAACCTTGAATAATGCTGCAACCTGAAATGGATATTTCGGTAAACAAAAAATCCACAGATATACCCAACTAAATGAACTAAAATGAAACAGAGGAATAACGCATAGCACAAAACAAAATTCCAAGCTGAATTCAAAGGAATTTTCAATAACTAAAATTAAATGTAGATAGGTACAGGCAAAAAAACTAACTTTAAGAAATTGTAACAGAAGTGAAACGACTTCTTCTATCATATAGATACGTACAGTTGCAAAGCCATTTTCTGCAACTTCTTCCATCATATGACTCATCAAGTTCAACTAATCTCAGACAAGAAACTCATGAGATGCATACAATTTTGGGTAATTTACTGTCGAGGGCTCAGAAAGGTAAATCTGAAAATGTTTAGAGAAACGTGACGTCGTCATGCTCATTGAAAGGAAAAGAAAAAGATAAGTAAAACTTGCTGACACTAGGATATTACTAGTATTTTGAGATCCTTGACTAGGAAATGATCCATTCAAGATGAACTGCATTAAGGCTTTGGGTCCCTGAAAACGTATATTTGTTGGACGATAAGAACTTCTCTGGAGTAAATAAATCACTGAGTATCATTAGATAAGTCCAGTAGATTCATAAAGGAATCAATCAAATTTGGCTCAACTCATGATTCAGTTTATTAAAGTTCGTTAAAGATTGGCTTGCAATGAACCAAGTTTGAAATTAGGGCATCCAGTCAGCATGTGTAGCTACATCTGCGCTTACCCCTTCATATTCGCTCCAAGGAGGCTTTCCACTGAACATTTCGATTATAGTACAGCCTAGACTCCATATATCAACTGCTAAAGCAAGATCAGAACTAGCGTCTACCTGCATCTCAGACTGCAAGAGCTGGAAAAAAAAAAATGAAATCTAACATCAGTATGGTTAGCTAATGGTTGATGGGATAAACACCTTAACTTGCAACAAATATTTACCTCAGGAGCCATCCAATATGGACTCCCCTTTAATGAAAGATTAGATGCGTATCCAGTCAGCTGCAAATCAAGATGAAAAACTCAACTTCAAACATGTCAAGAGTAGAAGTGGTGAAGTAATTATGACCAACGATTAAATAACAGAGCAACGTCAATCATATAGTATACACATTCAGATTTTTGATTGTAATGTTTGTTTTCAGCGCTATAAAAAAATTAGATTCCCCACTTATTCTCACATATTTTTGAACTGTAAACAAGTGGTTTGATTAAGCAGAGAAGCAACTGCCATGCCATAGAATAACAAGCTTTCTTCATTTTAGGTTGGCTCCTGCACCAAAAATTTCTTGTTTACAATAAATGGGCAATAGTTCACCTAAATTATCATCAATCCCCATCTTGCCGACTCTTTAATCATTATGAAAAATGTAGAAGCTAGGACCCAATCGAAACGAAGTTAGGTACCTTGCATTTAGTTGACAGATATATAATCAGATTTAGCACTTCCACACACACACACACACACACACACACACACAGAGTACAACAAAAACAAAAAACTACTACTATTATGGCCAAAAACCAATACCAAAGACAAGTTCCACTATGGAGTACCCTTACCTCAGCAGATAGAAATGGTGATCAACAATAAGTTATAGCAGATATAAGTGTCTTTTTATATTATAACAGTTATTCACTCTATTGCTCGTGAATTTCATGCCCATCATATTTCCCTTTTTTTTTGGTCATAAATACTGAATTTGGAGAAATCAGAACTTACGTGTTTTGCCATTCCAAAGTCAGTGACCTTGACGATTCCATATGCATCAACAAGCAAATTAGCACCTTTGATGTCCCTACAAAATTCAATGATCACAATATTTTGTCAGAACAGAAATGATCTTCCATGTAAGCTTCTAGAAAATAACATAATCCATCCTCTAGTTAAAAAATGATAATCCTCCCATCAATCTATGGTCCATTGGAAAATTTAAAAGATGATTAGTATCTTCTAATTTTAATTCACTGGAAGATTCTATTGAAGCTTTTATGTTTCAGAACATGTCAACATTACCTGTGTATGGTTTTTGTACTGTGCAAATAAGCCAATCCACAGAGAATATGACGAGTAAAATTGCGTACAACAGATTCTGTAATTGCTCCACAATGGTTATGGATAAATTTATTGATTGAACCAGGATGGACATATTCCAGGTATATGTAAAACCTGTCACCAACCTGCATAACCATAAAGTAAGAGTCTCATTTGAGCATATATGCAGAGAGATGCTTAACATTTTTCTGAGCTCCATGAAGAAAATTACTTACTATTTCACTACCATAATACTGTACAATATTCTGATGCTTTAGACGACTGAGTACTTTAATTTCCTGCTAAAAACTAAAACCAATAAGCTCAAGTTCCTACTGATAAAAAAAAAAAGGCTGTGCGAAAACCCAGAGAAAAGAATAAAGCAAGAATTTGCAGATGAGAAACATTCAGTGGGAAACAATAACCAGCATGTTCTTTTATATTCGATTATCAGGTATGCTGGAATATAAAATACCAAGAAATAACAGATAGATGTGGAAACAACCTGTTCCAACTGCCTTACACACTCTGCAGATTTTGGATCATCTGGTAAAATTTCAACTTCTTTCATGGCACACAAGGCTCCAGTTACTCTGTAGACAATAACAATATCTACTTTATGATACCAAATGGAATGTCAAAAAGTAATTAAGTTGAACTTGCATACCTGTTGGAAGCCATATACACACTCCCAAATGTCCCGCGCCCAATAAGCTTTCCTTTTTGCCATTGCCCTTTAATCAGTGTCAATTCAGGTTTAGCTGAGACCGAGGAAATTGAAGTAGGCTGCAAAGGCATGGCAGCTGCTGAAAATTCAGGTTTAGCTGTGAGTGGGAACATTGGAGTGGGATGTGAAGGCATGGAAGCTCCCGAAGATTCAGGTATAGCTGCCACAGGGGGAATTGAAGCAGTTTGTGAAGGCATGGAAGTTACATGAAACTCAGGTTTAGCTGTGAGTGGGGAGACTGGAATGGGATATGAAGGAATGGAAGTTTCATGAAATTCAGGTTTAGCTGCAACAGGAAAACTAGGAGTCCCTCCTGGAGGAAGAGGCAAGGGATGTAAATTAGCCTGAGCATTACTTTCACGCCATGCCGATGATGTCTCTGGTGATATTTTGTTATACAATGGTGTTGCAGGCTTATTAGGGCTTATTGCTAGCTTGTAAGATAGACTGTGGAGAGGAGAATTAACAACATTTGATGAAGTTCTCTCAGGAGGCAATTGATATGATAACGTTGTACCGAGATGTGTATCTAAACGAGGCATCTCTGGTGCAGACCAAACTTGGAAAGAACCTGGGGGAGTGGTGTAATGAGTTACCAAGAAATCACCTGAGCTTCTTGGAGGGCTCAGATGAGGATACGAATAAGGACTGGTTGGAGCACTAATAGGAAAACTAATTTTGTAGATATCAGAGGACATTTCCATGCCATTTTGCGTCATAGTTGATTTGTTAGACGACCATGATTCGCAATTTTCTGAATTCCTTCTAACATGTTTGCCTGCTAATCTGCTGCACAGGGGATTAAATGAACAAAAGATAATATTAAGCCCTGTTAAGAGAAACATCCAAATTTAAAACCAGTTATAACATTGTGAGTGACCTACAAAAGTGCAAAAAGATACCAAAAATCAGGTGAAAATATTCAAAATGATGGAAATTAAACGAACACGAGTAGTTACATAAATGTATAAATATAAATAATCAACTTTCCATTTAAATATAAATATATACGTAAATGTATAAATCGTCTCTCTTTTACAATTGACAAAAGATTCAATTTATTAAATGTATAATCCACAATAATTATAAATTGCGGTCAGTATAAAATTCCTTTTAGTTTTCCATACCTCTGAGGCACGTTGAGTCCATCAATAGTGTAGGCATTCAATTGACTGGCGCTCTCTCTTTCTCTTCTCTTTCTCTTTCTCCATTCCTTTTTTCATAATCTCCTCCATGAACAATATTATATGCTTCCTTAGGCGATGGTAAGGGCACATTATAGGATTGATGAGAGGAATCAAATTTTGCGTCGCGCTCTATAAAATCTCGAAATTCAGGCAGAGGCAGTGGCTGCGGCTGCGGCTGAGGCTGAGGCTGAGGGCTCGGCTGAGCTGCTACCATTGGTACGAATGAAGACCTTGCCGGAGAATTCTCATCATTATCATTCAAATTCTGCAGCTTTCCAGCACGGTTATGCCGCAAAAACAAGCTCGTTTTCAACGGGGATCTATGAAGGGAAATCAATTTAATATAAAATTAATAATAAAGTTAATAACCTGACCGACTTTCACCCTTCAAAATCAATATGATTTCTAAAATTCATATTCTAAAACGACCCACCAACTTGTTTAAATACAAAAAGCATAATTAGTATAAAACAATTTGTGCTACTCCTTTCGCAAATTGAAGTTTCAAATTAGAATTCGAATATTCGATACAGTTGATAATAGTTTTTTAGAACGGTAACGTGAATGTGACCATAAGAAAGAAACATGAAAAAGAAAAACCAAGAAGAAAATTGGTATGATCAAAGCAGATAATAAGTTCATACGGTTAAATTAGGAAAAATATAATCAGCATATAACAATTTATGCCTCTGGATAACGAATTGACATAGAACCCGAAACTCAATACCTCCCGCCCCCGCCATCGACCAGGCTGTCGTCCGCATGTGATTTCATGCCTCGCCACCAATGCATGATTACAAAGTGCTAGTCCGTATAATGCATTTGATTATGGTTTTGTATGAAGGAATTTGAGAATCTAGCATGGTGGATGAAGAAGAAAACCCAAGAAGGGTTTGGGATGGAGAATGTCTGGGAAGGTAAACACTCAACGATGCGCCAATTCCAACAGAGAGGTGCAAATTTTAGAAGGAAGTGGAATATTGGATTTTTTTTTTCTTTATTTTTTAAGGTGAAAATTGACAATGCTTTAAAATAGATATGCCTTTAACTATTTATATACTTAACCATTAGGCTTGAAATATTATGATTAGATCCCTCAGTTCATCTACTATTTTCATAGTAGATTTTAAGTTCCAATATGCTAGAGTAGGCTTTGATTTTTAATAATTCAAATGTTAACAAACTAATTCAATTGTGAACAAAATTACACTTGCAAGAATTTAAATTTGATGAATCGATTTTAATCATGTTTGCGCCTATCATCTATTTGGCAGTATTTCATCAGCCACGATTCATGATTTATCCCTGAGTTTTGCTACAAGTACACAAGGGTCCTTTATCACTTGACAATGATACTCAGCAAATCATAGTTTTTTAAGTTGTCTCGATACGTACAAAGAAATACGGGGCTAAGTCTTCCATGCCCCTCGGATGTGAGATTTTGTAATCTGAAAATAATTCTAGAGAGAATTCAAATTCGGAAAAAAGCATGAAGAATACTCAAAAGTATTAAATAATCTATCTTGGTGCTTTGGGGTCTTTATATTGACAATTACCCAAGACACATATCCATGAATGATATGGATGGACACTTACCATGAGATTGGGAGTCTTGGAGGAACATGTGGTAGGACGTAATTGGCTCGTCCACAAGAGAATTGAGTAGGGACACTTGTGACGAGATTGTTTGCTTTTAGAGGATGACGTGATCAAATCTAATGGTGCCAAGTACGATCGAGCGATTGATGTGGACCACTATTGCCATAGCTTGGCTGCTAAATCGAGCTTCAGCTAAAGTATTTGTGCTTGACCATTTATAGAGCATAGACAGGGTGTCCACAATCTATCTCTTAGTTGATTGCGGGCCCTCAAGTTTGGCCGATTTGGTTTAGATTTTAGGCATGTTGTGTCCAAGCCTAACACCTTACTTGAGTCCCTGACAAGGGTGATTGGGCTTTACTTGTGAGCTGGTGATGCATATTTGTTACTTTTTATCGAGATAGTCCATCAAAGAGGATCGGTTCAAAAATCGCCCATCATTAATCTCATTTATTGATCCTTTATTTATCCCGATCTTCTTAATCATCTACTCATTTTTGTTAGCGTTTCATTATTGTAATACATCAATGTTAATAGATGTGGTAAAAACTCCACACAGTTTATCATTTGAACATGTTTCAAGCGATGGTGACTAATCAACTAATCATGCGGTAAATAGACTCGATTGCTTACATTTACTCTGATTTCATTCTTGTACATTGAAAATCAGATCCAATACCTTTAATTTCAAAGTAAAAGCCCTTTTTTATTTCACTTATATAATTATCTGATTTAGTTCATAAGCCCCAATGATAAACCAAAAAAATTGAAAAAATCACATTTAAGAACAGTTTTATGTTTCATCGAATCACAACAGAGATATTGATATATGCATAGAGTTGAAATACGAACCTTAAAAAAACACCTCTCCTTCGTCTATAGAAACCACAACTCCACAAGTTCAAGCAAAGTTATAATTTTGTTTTTCTTTTTTTCTTTTTTTCTTTTTTTTTTCATATTTTTCCTGTCTTATTTGATGAGGGAAAATTTAGATTTCATAAATCGACCCAAATATATAGAGATTTCCATATATGAGAAAAATGACTTATTGTAAAAATAAAAAATAAAAAAAAAATTACGAATTGTTATAATTTATGAAAGGAGAACTGATATTATTTAATAATCACTTGTTTCAAGGTGATTAAGTAAATATATAATTTAAGTTGTAGTTAACTTTAAGATGCCAATAATCATTCTCTGTTATTAAGGGGTTGTTTGCAGGGATGGGAAAAAAGAACTAGAATCGAATCAAACCGTCTGGTTCGATTTAGGTCCAAGTATGTTTTTAATTGATTTTGGTTCTTGAAATCTAGAACCGGAACCATTAAAATCATTTTTAGGATTTTTGAAAATTTTAAAATAATATTTCTATTTCAACTTTTTTCGCTAAAATTAACTCTCTTCTCTTTCATTGGTTTTGACATCGAACTGAATCGAACCAAACTAAATTCGAACCAAATGGCTCTGATTAGGTTCCAATACTACAAATGGAATTAAGTAGTTCCATTATCAAAAAAATCATTGATTTCTGGTTCGTTTCCGATTATTGTGGACGCGGAACAAAAACGAACCACGCCCTAGCCTAGGTGCTTGATACGTATTGATAAAAACAATAAAAAAATTAACAAATTTTAATAAAAATGTGGTTGAAAAAATTAATAAAAGTTGTATGTTTCATACAATATATGATTAATTTTTTTTTCATATTATCCCAAATAAGAATTAAATCATTTTTTTATATTAAAAAAAAGGCCACCTTCCCCTCCCCATCCATGTCTCTCTATGTATTAACAAACCCTAGATATATTCACACCATAATTTTTAATAACTAAACTGTGTTTTAATTACATGAAAAGTTCATAATCTTTATGCATTATTATATTTATATTTCAATTTTTTTCATCGTATTCTTATTTTCAAAGTGATATGAATTGTTTGTGGTTATGGTTTCTCTTCAAATTTTTCTTTAAGATAGATTAAAAAGACTAATTTGCCTATTGTATTTTTAAATAAGCAAAACACAAATAATAATGTAAAAATACGATTAAATATTTAACCCCCATTTTAAATCACGTTAACAATATTTTGGGCAAAAATCATGATTAAGTACAAGTTCTTTTTTTTTTTTTTTTAAATCGATGAAATATCAAAAGTGAGAATATAAGTGTAATAATGAATAAAGATTAATGATATTTAATGTAACTAAAATGTGATCTACTATAAAAAATCAAGGAGTCGTTATTTACATCCACTATTGTTATATATTCATCTCATTCTATATATATTCCTATTAAAAAATTTTAAAAAAATTACTATTTTCATCCATATCACATTCCAATATTCTTCTTATTAATTCATTCAATATAAATCTCACCATTTTTATATATCTACCCCATTATAATTACTTTAACCATTTAATATATCAGTCCACACCATTTTTAGGAGTGGGCGCGGTTCGGTTAGATTCGGTTCGTTCCAGTTCCACAGGAAATCCAACCGAATCGAATAACAATGGAAATTTTAGAAATGGAACCGTTGGTTCCATAGTTAGCCATTGGTTCTGGTTCGATCCGGTCCGATTCTTTACATTGAAAATATCAAAATAAAATATTCACCAATAAAAAATCTAAAGATGCTATCAATATGATACGTTTAACAAAATATAGAAGAATTGAACATACTATTCAAAGATTAAAAAAAAAAACTAACTATACAAATTTAAAAACAATGTCCAAATACTATAAGTTACTATTATCAAGCAATCATCAATTTATAAAAACTGCATAGTACTCCAATGATCAAACTAATTTCCATCAAAATCAAAATCCTACATTGAATTGAACACCCTTTAAAAATTTATTGCAACTTCTGATTCTGTCTGTTATAATTTGTAGAAATCTAGATGAAAAGCTTTGATCGGATAACAACTATGTAATCAAAGTGAAAACAAAATAAAAATTTCGCATCTTAAAAATGAAATTATATATTGTAAATAAATTTATTTAGGTATAGATTTACCCAATATTCTAATTTGGCTTGAGAATCAATTAATCAAAGAATTATAAGAAGAGAGAATCAAAGAGAAGAAAAGTACTCGAGTCTGAAATAAAGAAGGAATCAGATTATTTTTTTATAAAAGTTATTGTAGATTAAGTCATATATTTTACCAAAAAAAAAAAGAAAATAATAAAAAATCTTATGAGAACCGTCCAATTCCCGATGATTCCCATATTGGAACCAGGGACCGAACTAGAACCAATTGGTTCTTAATAATTTGTTCCAAAATCAAATCGTTGTTTAGAAGATCCAGAATCGAATCGGCCGGTTCTAAATGATTCCAGTCCAATTTCACTGGTTCTGGGAAAAAAAGTCCACTCCTAACCATTTTTATACATCTATACATCTACATCATTTTTATATATTTGTTGTATCATAATTCCTTCATAAGGGAACTGCTATTTACATCCACAAAATTATATATCTACCCCACTCTATATGTACCCCTATTGAAATTCAAAAATTATATATAAAAAATAATAATATTTTGATCCACTTTACTTTCCAATGTTATTCTTATTAAATTCATTCATTTAAGCACTATACATCCACATTAATTCTATACATCTATCTCACACTAAATATATCTCTTGAATAAGTGAAGTTGGATAGGATTCTTGAAAAAACCCAAAATAAGTATGCTTCTTTTTTATTGGCTATAAAAAAATGCTTCTTTTTTATTGGCTGTAACTTTTGAAAATACTAAGACCACGTTTGGTAGTCATTTTCTTCAAAATGTATTTTTTTCTCTCTTCTTTTCAAGCACACATTCTTTATTAAAATAATATTACACGTCAATCAAAAACTTTTCCTTATTTTTTAACCACATATTTCACATCAATTTACTATTCTAAAATACATTTTTACATAAAAATATCTATCAAAATAAATGACGTGGTGGGTTTTCTCAAATAATGTGCAATTTTCAACTTAATTTTTGGCTTAGGTAATAGTTATGGGGATAATACCCTGCATACAGGAATGATTGATAGGGTTTTTGAATGCAGCACCTATTTAACCCTTCTTTTATGTCACTGGTGCTTAACATAAGTTAAGCTTAGTAGATCAACTCTGTGTGTGTGTGTGTGTGTATATATAATTTCCGTGGATATAAATAATGGTTCCCCTTCATAATTCTTTTATATTTTCAATTATTACCATCAATAAATATTGTCAAGTTGATAATCCTATCGAAAAACTCAAATTTTTGCTTTGATAATCCTAACAGAAAAGATAACCATCAATGTTTTCAATTCAAGAAAATCAAGAAAGGAAAATATAATCCCAACAGAAAATTTAAATAATTCGAAATGAAATTTTTCACTACTATTACTTGAATGCTAAAGGCACATTATCAAATAAACTAAATACCGGTACTTAGGAGATCATGAATATATATATACGTCGGCTCCAAAAAATTGTAATGTGAATATAACCAATCAAGCCCTAATCCCTTTTCTTAATCCAACGACAAAGCGCATTTTGTTTACACACGTGACGGTTTAGATTACGCCACCAGCATTAGGGATTCTCATCAACTCCTATACAGATTCGCGCATATATACACACGATTTATGTAACTAACGTAGACTCTCTGGCAATGATCTCTCCATTTTTGTAAATTTTGTATAATTTTTCTTCTGATTTTTATCAGTTCATCTGATCTCTTGTTTGAATAAGAAAAAAAAAGTGAAAAATTACTATTAGGTATTTTTTCCTTAAATTTTCTTGGGATTGCAGAAGTTGTTGATTGGATCAAGAGCTCTTGTACTCGAACCCTAGGTCTCCACTCTCTTCGATAAACTGAGTGTTAATTTATCCATTTTTCAACTTTTCTTTGATTCTTCAACAAAAATCAACGTCGATTCTTTGTTTTTGTTTAAATCTTCGTCTCGGTTGTTTGAATTTTGTTACGAAGGAAGAGATTTGAATTGTATTTTAAAGCATAATTTATCCAAGGTAAGAATTTCAGTAATCTTCCAATCTCTCCGTTTTATTTTTATTTTGAATTTCTTTCTTTATTTGTTATGAACATTGACAGATTTGGTTTGTTAANTCGGGATCCCCAGCAGCAGCAGATTTTGGATGCTCAACAATTGGCTGCGGTGGCTGCCGCTGGGGAGCAGGAGATGTTGAGGACTTATGAGCAGCACCAACACCAGCAACAGGATGATTTAGTAAGGTATAATGGAGGGTTCGATACCACAGGAGGGCCAGTGACTGCCACCGGCTTTACTCAAATCACAGATGAAGATGCCATGCCACCGCGGCCGCCAACTTTGGCCTTGGGTTCTTATGAAAACAACCCTCTCCATCATATTCAGCAGGAGGCACAGGATCACTCACATTCTCACCAGCTTCAGCTTCAATCACATGAGTTTTTCTTTCAGCAACAGCCACAAGAGAATGCTTCAACTCATCATCTACAGCAGCTAATTCAGTTGCAGCCTGAGGAACCACAGGCATCACAACAGCAGCAGCAAAGAGCCAAGAGCGAAGAGGGCAGGAGCGTTAATCCTTCATGCTAAAATGAAATTCATGTCAAAAATAAACTGCCCTATTTTCTTTATTCTATCCACAAATATTTCATCCAGGTAAAATTTCCCTCCATCTTTCTATGCTTCAGTTGGTTTTTCACATTATCTTGAATGAAAACTTAGAAACAAACAAATAAATACACAAATTTCTAATAATTCATCTTCATTTAAATCTATTTCAAGAAGAATAGATTATTCTCAGACTACTTTTGCACAAAAACCGCGTTAATATTGGAAGTATATATTACAGTGAAATACTAATAAAAATTTGGCTTCATATACTCCAACTTAATTATAGCCCTTTTGGTATGTCTTTTGTTTTTGCTTTTACTTCTTATAAAAGAGCCTATCAAGAAAGCTGTCTTAATTTTTATTTGAAAACTAATTTTTGAAAGCACTTTCTACTCTTGGAAGTGCTTTTAAAAGAAGGTCATTGGACTAGCTCCTCCAAAAATTCTTCTAACTACCAGAAGTATTTTCATAAAATTAATCAAATGAGTTAAAAAAATAGCTTTTGGATCTTAAAAGCTTTTTTTGAATTTTCAAAAGCCATGTCAAACGGGCCCTTAGCGTATTTAAGAGTTTTTGTGTTGTGTTGGATTGTTAATGGATTGCCGCTCGGCATTTTCTCTTGGAAGATTTGGTACTTAAAATATGTTTTCTATGGTGCATGTGGAATGATTATAGGAACTTTTCTCTTTATATATACTGCCCATACTGCCACACTCGGTGAACATATATAATTCTTAATTGGTGAATAACCCTAGCTGCCCCTTTACGTTGTTCCTCATCCTTTTTTCATTTAATTTAGGCTGCAAATTTGAGAAAGATTTAGGTAACATCTTCCTTCTGCAGAAGTGGTAGTGCAAGTGTGGATTTCCATAATAATATTAAGCGAGCAATATTAAGAGGGCTGTCAAACTTGGTATATACCGAAGTGTACACCAAGCATGACTCATATTAAGAAAAGAACAACCAAAAATGCATACATGTAAATACACAGATTTATAGGGCTGAACTCTCAACACATTTACATAATTTTACAATTAAAATATGCTACGATTAGGCTCCATAACAAACCTAATTCAGATGCTTTAACTTTCTGTCAGTGAACAATGGAGGTGTGCTAAAAGAGAAAAGAGCTTTGAGATAGATGATGCTTTAGACTCCCATGCATACCCTACTTAGGGGTGGGGCGGTGGGGTGGGGTGGGATTAAGCATTTTAATATCGTTAATCCACCTCTTCCAGTTAGTAGAAATACTGTTTCTGGTGCAAATTGAATCAAATAGCTTGCTGCTAAATTTTTACTTCTAATGTTATTTGTATATGTGGATTTTAATCAAACCATCATGGAGGTGGAGCATTTATTAACCAACCTTAGTTTTTTTCTTGTAGAAAATTTTATGGTATACACAAGTATACATTGAAGCAAAATAGAAAAGGAGAGTGAGGGGAGTCAAATAATGTTGCATAGAAGAAGCCTAAGACCGTAAGCGATCGGTTTTCTTTTCTTTCGAGTTTGAAGAATTCAGTTTCTTGGACGTTGAATGTTGCATCGAAGAAGCCTAACAGCGTGAGTGATCGATATTTTGAATGTTGGAGCTACTTATTCATTTCAATTGCAGTGTTCGCAAGGGCATGCTTAGTACGAGTACTGAACATGACTTGAGTAGAATAGATAGATTGTTAACTTTTATCCTTAAAACTTTTTCGATCTACTAAAACTAATAATCATGTTATTTATGTTTAGATCCAGAAGTTACATCTATATACACAAGCAAAGCATAGCATATATCTTCCTCATTTGAGGGCATGTCTGAACACCCTTTAAAGTTAAAAGCCAGTTTATTAGCTATTTTTCCTTGCACGGCGTGGAAACATGCTGTTGGAAAAAGTAACTTAAAATAACAAATTTTAAGCAGGTCAAACATCTTCTATATACTACTTTTTTTCACTTGTAATTTTGAGTTGAAGATGAATTAATTACACAATGGTCTTTCTTTATCCAACTTCCTTATTAAATAAATAAATAAAAGGATTATTTGTTATCAATTTGTCTGATGCGTAATGATAGTATCCTCAGTTGTCAAGTTAAAAAAGCAACGTCCTCATAAAGAACAATCTTTCCTTAGTCATATTATCAATGAAATTTTGATTGAAGTTGTTAAAAGAAAGAAATAGATCAAAATTAACTAAATTTTCTATAAAATTATTTCATTTCACCAGATCTTTGAGTAAATAAGCCTAATAAAAAATATAATTTAATTTGTTTTGTAGTACATGGATGGTATATATAATTGTTAATTACTATTAATTGAGGAAAATTTAATAAGGGTATATTGGTAAATAAACAAAACAAAATATTCTAAATTAGAAAATAGTAATATATATTCGGGACAAGAGAAAAATGAAACTCAACCTTTATAATTGGGACGGAAGGAGTATATTATATCTTACTATAATTAATCATAAGACATTGTATTTAGTGGCATTAATTACCAAAGGAATACTTTAATCATTAAATTGCTTTGAATGGCTGACCATGGTTTTCACAAGAGTGATGATATTTCACACCACTAATATCAAACACCAATTTAGGTGACAATTGCTTGGGATTAAATGATAGATTTCGTTAATTGCATTGTTATAAAATTCATTTAACTGAATATCAAATCAGGTCATCTAAACTGGTGCTTTAGCACCAATGTTAGATATCATTATTCTTTCATAAATCTCCTGATAATTAAGAATAATTTCTTTAATATTTGATTATTATTTCTGAATAGAATTTTCATGGAATTTATTTAAGATGGCCATGTGAATGGGAGCATCTATACATTAATTAAATTCAGTTGTGGAAGTACAAATAAGAATAGTCATTGTATAATTGAAATTCCCATTGAAAAGTAAATTAACTTTGCTACACTGATAGGGAGGGTTTGGTAGCCTCCCTGACCGAACACTTACAATACAGATGGGGTGGGAGTCACTGTTTTTTGAAATTTTTTATTCATTCGAGTCCCACACGTATATGAGAGAATGTTAAAGTTTCAATCATCAATTCGGTCACTCAGCTTAATTCAAAGTAAATTGTAAGAAAAAATGGTTGACTTTTATAATCCCGCGCACGTGACTCTCATATTGGAAGTAGTCACTAATTGTATTTTTCAACACAATTCTTAAGTCAAACCCCCACATAGCACGAAATTTCCAATAAATTATTCCAATTGGAAAACCTGAATTTATTTAATTTTGTAAACTGAGAAATTCTAGATTCATGGTGCGACTAAAGTAATTTAAGAATTTAGGCAGAAATTCTTAATGGACCTTTTGAAAAGTAATAAAAATATTTATATATTTTTAAAGCTAATACCAGATATTCATTTCTACAAAATACAGCCGTTTCATTGAAAAGAAAAAAGTAACAGAAGTTCACCTCAAAAAAATCCTAATAACAATAGATATCATCAATTGAAAAACAATTTTGAAAACATTTAACATATCATTTGAAATAAACTAACAACCTTTCATCAACGTAAAAATAGACAAAAATGACCTCAGAACTAAAACATAGATGCAAAATTGACAAATTTTAAAGAGATCAATTTAACTCTTTTCTACCAACATTGAATATATTCTGAACACATTGATCGGAAAAGATAAAGCTTTTTCATGACCATATTTTAGGTCAGGAAATGTCAAAAGTAAGCTAAGAATATACTACTTGGCATAGAGTCATGAATGGTGTTAGTAAACATTGGCTGTGTTAGAAATCAGAGAAGAAGTATGAAAACTGGAGAATTATATTTCTAAGTCGTGTTTATAATATAAGGTGTACGGCTTATTTATACAAGAGAGCCTATGCTATAAAATGAGAAAGATACATTAATTCCTATAATTAAGCAATCTGTAATCCCCATAAATTAAGCAATCCCATTAATTATGCTACAATCACACAAATTATGCTAACACCTCCCCTCAAACTCAAGATGGTATTGTAAATGTCATTTTGAGTTTGCATACTAAGTCATGAAAATGTCCAGGCTGGTGAGTTTTAATAAAGATATCAGCAGTCTAATCAGAGGGAGATATGATTCTAAATGGAGAGTACCAAGAGTAACATGATGGCGAATAAAATGACAATCAATCTCAATGTGTTTAATGCGCTCATGAAACACATTATTATGAGCAATTTGAATAGCACTTCAATTGTCACAATAAAGAGCAATAGAAGATGAGTGAGAGAGACCCATATCTTCTAATAAATGACAAAGCCAAAGTAACACCGCAGTAGCATCTGGAAGGGCACGATATTCTGACTCTGTACTAGAACAAACCGTGATAGTGTGCTTCTTGTTGCGTCAAGAAATAAGTAAGTTGCCCAAAAAGAAATAGTAACCAGTGGTGGAACGACGATCTGTAAGATCATTAGCCTAATTTGCATCAGAGTACCCAGATAGTACTAGAGAAGAGAGATAAAAAATAAAGTCCATGAAAGAGAGTCTCCTTCACATAGCGAAGTATCCAAAGAACTGTAGAGAAATAAGATGTACGAGGAGCAGCCATAAACTAACTTACCAAGTGAACTGCATAGGCAATATCAGGTCGTGTCACAATTAAATAGATGAGGCTCCCAACATGTTAGCGATAGAGAGTAGGATCATCGAGAGGAGAACCATCTATAGGAGTAAACTTGACATTTGCTTCCAAGGGAGTTGAAACGGTCTTATTGTCTGTGATCCCCAACTCGAGAAAGCAAATTAGAAGCATACTTTGCCTGAGAAAGATAGTAGTCATCTGAGTTGAATGAAACTTCAAGACCCAAGAAATAACTTAGAGGACCAAGATCCTTCATCCCAAATTTTTGATTTGGATACTGTTGTAACTGTGAAATACAGCATCATCACCAGTTATTATCATATCATCAACATAAAGAAGCAGGAGAACAATGCAATTATCAGTACGGTTAATAAATAAAGCAGAATCATGTGGACTAGAAATAAAACCAAACTAAGTAATAGTGGAACTAAATTTGGCAGGCCAGGTTCGTGGTGCTTGTTTTAACCCATACAAGGCACGTTGAAGCTTACAGACTTTATTTGAAGGATGAGGAAATCCAGATGGAGGATGCGTATAAACTTTTTCTTGGAGATCACCATTTAGAAAGACATTTTTGACATCCATCTGAAGGAGCTTCCGACATTTTACAGCGGCAATGGCCAATAGATTGCGAACAGAAGTAATTTGAGCAACTGGAGCAAATTTTTCTTCATAATCAATACCATATTCTTGACTATAACCTTTGGCCACTGAACGCGCTTTGTAACATTCAACAGATCCATCTGAATGAGTTTTTATTTTATAAACTCATTTACATCCGATAGGAGTTTTGCCATGATGAAGATCAACCAAATCCAAGTACAAGTTTTCTCTAAAGCTTGAAGTTCTTCATTCATGGCTTGCTGCCAAAGAGGATCACTACTAGTTTCACGAAAAGAACAAGGATCATGCACGGTTACAATAGCAAAAAAATAATGATAATCATGAAAATGATGAGGGGTTTCTCTTACCCAAGTAGAACAAAGAGGATGGACATCAGGCACAATCTCAGCAATTGGACCAGTCTCAGTAGAAGCAATTGCAGGAGTAGGATTAGAATTGAGTTCTCTGAAAATAACTGTGTCATTACTAAGAAAAAAGATCGACTGATAAATTTGTAAAGAATTGAGAAGGAGTAGTAAAGTTAGAGTGAAATTTGGATAACAAGGAAAAGAAGGTTTGTTTCCAGAAGGTGATATATCTAGAGACACGCAACCTATTAGAAATAGGATCCCAACAACGATAACATTTATATTCTATCCCATAACCTAAGAAGCAGCATAGATGGGCACGAGGTTCTAATTTGTTGTGCTCATGAGGTTATAGCAAAACAAAAAAAACACAGTCAAAAGGTTTCAAAATAGAGTAATCAGTGGTCTTATCAAATAATCGTTCAAAAGGAAATAGATTTTTAAGAATTGTTGTTGGAGGCGATTAATAGTGTATACACTAGTTAATGCAGCTTCGCTCCAAAACTTTTCAGGGCAAGCGGAAGAGATGAGAAGAGCACGAATAGAGTCAAGAATATGACAATGCTTACGTTCAACTCTACCATTTTGTTGTGAAGTGTGTGGACAAGAATGTCGAACCATAGTTCCCTATTGACAAAGAAACTGAAGGAGAGATGAGTCTTGATATTCCATAGCATTGTCAGTTTGAAGAGTTTTAATAGTGTGAGAGAATTGAGTTTTGATCATATTAGCAAATTTAATATAGGTTTGTGGCGATTCAAATCTTTGCTTCAGAAAATAAATCCACGTAAAACGAGAATAATCATTGATAAGTAAAAAAAAAATATTGATAACCATTCATATATAGAATAGGAGAAGGTCCCCAAATATCAGAATGGACAATGTCAAAAGGAACATCAGAAATCGATGTACTATTATTAAAAGTTAAAGCAGGTCGAATTTTACTAGTCGAAGTATGACCAAGATGGAGATGCCACTGATACAATGAAGAACTAGAAGTTGCAGCAGTTGACACATTTTGTAACGGAACTCGAAGAGAGATGAGCTTAAATAATCTCCCCACCTTGCAACCCATCCCAAGAATCTGGCTCGTTTGTGGATCTTGTACCTGACAACCAGAGAGGGGGAGAGGGGGGGAATA